TGATAATGTTTTCGAGATCACGATTGTCAGGCTCGCGGCACTTTAAAAATAAATGCAAAATAGTCCCTACTTTATTACATTTTTGATCAGGTTAAATATGACGGGTGTTTTATCTGAAAAAAAAAAAAACGTTTTGCTAAAACGTTTATTACTTGACAAGAGTGACATGTGAGTGATAAGACTTTCATTTAATTACAGTAACATTGCAAATAGTTTAAAAAGAGTAAGAGAAACAATATGAATGTTGAAATAAAAATAAGGATGCTTTTTCAACTTACTTATAACAAGAAATATAGTTCATTATATATTTCTCAAACGCCGTTGTCCCGTTTTGGCACCAAAAGAGCGCCTGACCTAGTCTTATGTTGTTCTCATGGCAACAAGTCGATTTGAAGCTGGGGAATTCTCTCATATTGTAATTCGCACTTGAGATTAGTGTTAGTGAAAGCTCAGTCAAACGATGTAATCTCCGTGATTGGATATATGGGCATTTGCTCCCTGCTGCAGCTTATAATTGGAGGTGATTTTTGTGTATAGCGATTACAAAATAAGCTGACGAGCAAGGCTGCTGTTCTCTTAATTAAAAATTGTTAATAAAGGAAGTAAAAATCCACGCTTATGCACTCGAGTGCAAAGGCCTGAAAACTAGAATGCTGTTTTTATAGGCATACACTTTAAGTGCCTGCATATATTGCGAACTCTGTGTCGGTTTATGTCGTTCTTTACACTATAACTGCCAAGGCCTTTTTTGTTTCACTTTAAGTTTGCTGAGTGGTCTTCATTGATAAAAAAGAGCAGACTCTTTACAAAATCAGCATGATGGGATTATTTTTACGAATATTGATATTTTCCATGTATTCTGACGATCATTGCTTCATAAGTATCTAATCGTATTATTGTTTATTTCAAATTTATTGAGTGCCTTTATTTGGTTAAAAAATGACTGCTCCTTTCAAAAATTAGCATGTTCGAATTGCTTTTGCGAGATATTGATTTTTTAAATGTGTTTGGTGATGTTCTCCCTCCAAGTGCCAAACCGTATATTTTGCATTGTTTGGTGTAGGGCAGATTAATTTTGAAATTCAGAAGCATAGATTAATTTTCGCAACTGTTATACAGGTTTGTGGTGTCGTGCAATTCTGCAGTCCGGTCCGATGTTTCTTTAACCCAATATATTGGGGCTGTTACTAGAGTTGTATTAAAACCGTGTCTTGTTTTATTTTATTTTGTTTTGTTTTATTTTATGTTAGTAAAAGTAACCTTTCTGAACTGTTTGGATATTTGAAAGCGATGAACATGTAATTTTTAGTTTAGCAATTGACTGATTATATTTAGGTTTGAAAGTTGCTGTTCTCTCTCTCTTTCACACACACACACAAACAAACAAACAAACAACGCACGCGAGCGCGCACACACACACACATACACACACACACATACACACAAACACACACACACAATTGAGCTAACTATTACCCCCATCTGTCACCCTCTACCACCCTCTTCTCCCGTCACCATCCCTCATCCTCCTTCCGCAGAGAGACATCTCCCTGCAACAACTCACGTAGGCTAATGCCTTGACACCCAGTCTCCGTGACGCTTGGATTTACCATGAACTTTCCGCAACATCATCATCATCATTTTATCTAACATTGTTGCCGACGATTTCGAGAAACATATGGATCTGATCGATTTGTCAGGGCGCGAGCACCATCTAATCAGGCGGAGAGCGTTTGGGATTATTAGCTGCAGAATCGAGCCAGATATGCCGAGTTGTCAAAATCATTATACACGTAATTACTTTCCAACAGATGTATCTTTTGTGCATTTGAGGGAGTACCATATCAAATCGGAGCAGTGGTTAATACGTGTAATCCGCATAACAGATGATGGAGTCTACTACGGGGACTGAAGTACACTTTGATTGAATTTACATTACGTATTCTTCAACTACGAAATAGCATGTTCACACGATTCCCGCTTCCTATTGCTTACGACCCTACCTAGATAGAATGAACGTGCTTTGTTTTGGGAGGTAAATACACTCTCAGTAATAAATTAAACTACCATTATTTCTTTTCAACTTGCACTTGACTAGCATTTAGGATTTTTATATTTTATTCACCAATTGGATATCCAGTGTGGCACCCTCCATCTATCTCAAGTGATAATCAAAGTTGAACTTATATAATTGATTACACTGAATTTACAGAATAGATGATACAACGCCGGCATTATATCATGTTATAAATTAAGTAAAAATCTTCATGTTCTATTATAGTTGTAATATTCACCTATACGATCCTATCCAATCGTTAGTATTGGTAACAGCTATTGTATTTGATTTTACCCAGATATTATTACCTCCAACAAGGAGGTCATATTTTTGCATTTGTTGGTTTGTAAGCGTTAAAACAATCTAACTCGAAAAGTCATTGACGGGCTTTAATTGATTTTAATTAATTTTAATAAATAAATCATTAATAATGATAATTGAACTGACTTGGCGAAGGTTTTCTAGAGTGTTTGTGCGTGCGTGCGTGCGTGCGTGCGTGCGTGCGAGTAAGTGTATGTGTGTGCAAGCGGTATTCCTTGTATCGAAGCCTGTTCAAACAGCCATCCAATCTGAACACGAAAGACCCAGACCTTCTGTTCTAAGGCTGGAAACTTCACTCCGTGACAAACATGCTCTCTTGTTCCCAGTATCCGAGCAAGCTGACTAAAGAGGAGAGTTCACAGTGATCTCTGGAAATCAGGGTCCAAACCGGATGGTCGAAAATAAATGTGTCAAGCCGTCAGCGTAGCCGCAATTCCGCCTCTGTTCACATTCTCAGCTAGCCTGCAACGAAACCAATCAATATTTTATCTAAACGAAGTCGTGATCCAAATAACAAATTAGTTGTCCCACCCGCGATATGACGTCTAAAACAACACACAATCATGAATACAAACAGTTTGACAGCAGAGATTGCCTCACGACGTCGTGATCATGTAGACTTGTATTAATTCACACTTTGGATATGATTTCGATCTCTGCAATGACGACAAATTAATTATATCCAAGAATGGTATACATGCAGTTCTATAATAAACAGTTTTAAATGTTCAGAATCCTCGACTGAAAGAATTTTTTGGATTTGCCAGGGATTTTAGTGAATCTTTCATTTGTTAATTTCATTTGTTCAGTTCCTTTTTCAGAAATTAATAATCTCAGAATCTCGCCGTGCATGAGTGGATAATAAGCATGCCGAGTTTCATAAAACATACCTCTGTTATCAGCAAGCCTCTGTCGTTCAGTTTCAGAAATAACTGGAAATAACTTCCACTGACGGTAGATTCGAGGTAATAGTAAATATCTGAAACTCAGGTTAAGTATAAGAGTATTATTCAGATAGACCAAGTATATTTGCTGTAATCTACTCCCTTCGTATTTAAAATCTGTGATATCCAGGAAAACGACTATACAACGATCTTTATTATCTCCGCCAAGGAGGTCGTTTCTTGTTCCGTTTGTCTGTTTGTCTGTTTGCCCCTTTGACTGTTTGTCTCTTTGTCCGTTTGTCTGTTAGCAAAGGGTCTCTCTCTCTCTCTCTCTCTCTCTCTCTCTCTCTCGTACTTGACAACAAAACTCATAAACTAGAAGACTTTATGGTTTTTCTCATCATTCCCTTTTTTATTTTTAAATTCTTTACGGATATCTTCTTATTTATGGGGGGGGGGGGGGTACATATACTACAAGTCTATCCACGTTTTTACTTCGCCTTATTTTATGTTCAAGGTAAAACGCTGGTGAAACTCAGGGTTTGAGAATCGTGGTCACTTCACTGATTACTCAGATTAGCAAGACTGTTCTAGCAGTCGAAATTCATTAAGCAATGTATTCAGTCCTTTGACTGAGATCTTGATTGTCTTCGAATACCAATGTTACAAATCAACGGCCAGTGGGATCAACTAGGGTTCAAAGGAAGGATGTGTTGAGAGTCTTCTTCATGCAGGCGACCGCATGCACACGCTCCCTCTCTCTCTCTCTCAAATGTGCACACACACACACACACACACACACACACACAC